CTAAAATTCAAACTTTGTAAGAAAAAAAAAATATGTAAGGAGGGCGTATAAAATAGAGTAAAAACAATAAAGACAAAAGAATTAGGAAGAGAGAAACATATGTATTTTTTATTAATCAGCATGTTACATAAAAAATTGTCTGACCACAATCAAATTATTTTCTCTTCCGTCTTATTCACTTAGCCTGTCTAAACAACACACACATACAAAATCGGACATAGTAGAAATTGATAGAGACATATCAATTTGTTTTTCTTTTTCATAAGCTTAGTTTAAGTAGTAGGTGAAGAGAGACACAAGGGAAGCTCCAACCAAAGAGCCAAGAGCCGGTACGGCTAAGGAGGCTCCGCTTGCGGCCGGTCCCGGTGCTGGAGCTCCAACCTCTGTAGCCATGACTGCGGTCATGAAAGCAGCGGCGAAAACAACACCGAAGGCAATCTTCTTCATCTCCATTTCTAGTTGAGACCTGAAAGGTTTTTTTTTTTTTAGTTTTGTTAACTTTTTTTGTTCTTGCAGGTCTGAGGATAGTTAGATGGTGTTGATGGGGGATTTATACGGGAGGTAGTTAAGTTATTTTTAGTAGAAATTATTTTTAGATATTGAGTTCTACCAAATATTTAGAAATTACATCAATAGTGTTAAGGAAAATTCACCGTTGATTTTTTTTTAATCCATTGTGTGGCTTTGAGTTATTTAAGCGTTTCCATCCATATTTGTACCATATCAAATGTGTATTTCAGATTGTTCTTTTCTGAAAATAATTATTTGGATTGTTGAACTTTAAATAGTCGGCCGATATTATTGGTGTTAAGTTATTTATTTGCGAAATGCTTAGTGGCTATAGAATGTCCATAAGAAGATGAATGATACGTGATCGGAGATTTGCATTGTTTTTTTTTTGGAGAACCGGGGAGTTGCATTGTTGTTGATGTATATCGCAAATTTGTATAACACATTTAGTCAGTGAAGCAAATGTTAGTTTTTTACTTCGTCAAATGAAATAAGACATTCATGGAATCATGGTATAGGTGTTGTATACTTTAACGTATCGGAGTTTGAGATGAATACTTTGCTATCAAAAATTTGATATGCGTATTTTATTCATTTACATGTAGTATATAGGAGCATGGTACTTGAAACAAGGACTAGATATATAGAAACTTAAGATAATAGTGGTGAAAAATGTAAAGTCTAAGTCAAACATAAAGAAACAATTTGTCGTCCTAAAACCTGTTTAACAGGAGAAAGATAGATTTTAATCTGAATTTTGTGTGACTAGTGTGTCTCACTTTAACACTAGACTCCAACTTGCACCAATATTCATTTAAACATGGAGAAAGCCAGTAAAAAAGGAGAAAGTGTTATTTGATATCTAGTATTTCTTCTATTATTTATATAACTTAATTCGAGTTTGGCAATGTGTTTAGAGGTGGTTAATTTTACATTTTCAGATATTTTGTATAAAACCTTGATTAAGCTTGAATGAACAAAACAATATACAATCGAACTATCAACTAAACCAAGCCTATTGCATAAACCAGCATTAACCAACACTAAACCGGATGTATAATATCTAATATACATTTTATTTATGTTATTAGCTCATCCTGGACCTAAATATACTAAATCTAAAACCTTAAACTTTTTGGTAAAGTAGATTTGCTGGTAGAGATTTTGGTATAAACTTTGTTGATGAATGGCAACAAAGTGATCAAATTTGAAGACTTTTGGGAAATAATAAAGAGAAATTAAGATACAAAGAGAATAATTAGAACTTAGAGGAAGGAAGAATGAATTAGCTTCTGCTATGCTTTTTTCACCTTACTTTTTCTGTCTATGCTTCTTTTGTTTGGTTTTGATTAAAGCTGCCCCCAAATCAGCTTTTTCTTTTCTTTTAAATTTTTTTAAACCAAAAACAGGAATAAAATGATGAATAAATTCTTGAAAACATAAGAAAAATGATTCTTGAGCATAATATTCTCAGTAGGTTTGGTGTTATCTTGAATAAGATACTCCGCATAAGTTTTGTGCTTTGTGTTTGATCACATCAACACATAAGCTTTTGGAAAATTAAATATGAATGGAAATATAAAAAGTTGATACAGAAAATCACTTAGGAACAAACATATGCACCGAAAGTTGATCACTGAAAGGTGACGATCAACTATTTTTTTTCTTTTCTCAATTACAATTCCTCTCTTTAATTATTTTTTTTTTAAAGTGTTACCAATAAAGATATAACAACTTAAACATCATATAATTTCACTATACTCTCTAGCAAATGCAGACAAAAGAACCAAGAATATAGCGGAGTAGTGGTTTAATATTTGAAGTTGGTTATATTGTGTTTCAGAAGGAAATATATTTTCAAAGAGAATATATTACTGACTGACTTCGAACCTACAAAGATTAGGATTTAAACTTAAATTTCGAAGTTATAAAAAAACATTAGAAACAAAAGATGTAACCAGAAAATAAATAAACATGTTCGCACTAATCTTGGTTTTCTTTCTTTTTTTCTGATCAAAGAAAAGTCCAAAGAGAAGAGTCACGTGAGCTCGAGGATTGAAATTGTTTGCACCAAGAAGAGAAAATAGATTAAAAATTTATTAGATTTAGATAATTTAAACTATTAATAATAATAACTGAATATTAAATCAACCCACGAGGCCACCACCTCTACACAAAGCTAATTTTTTTGCATATCCAAAGCAATTTTAAAGTGCAAAATGTCGTTAATCTAATCAAAGATTGACATAAAGAAAAGAACTTACTTAAGAATCTTTTTCATATTACATTAAAAAAA